TCACTTCCTTAAACTATCAATTTGACTTTAAAAGAAATAATTTCACAGAACATGCAATTATTCGATTTGTACGTAAAATCTATATTTCTTTTGAAAAGTCTAAATATACATAAAGCTTTTTCAATATATATATATATATATATATATATATATATATATATATATATATTATATATATATATATATATATATATATATATATATATATATATATATATATATATATATATATATATATATATATATATATATATATATATATATATATATATATATATATATATATATTTCTGAAATATTTGGTCTTACATTTCAAGGTTGTTTACAAATAGTATATACTACTAACTTCACGTAAACACCTAATGATAACGATTAAAATAGTAAAAATAATAAAGATAATATTTATAATAATAATAATAATAATAATAAATAATAGTAATAATAACATTTTATTTTAACAATAGTAATAATAATATACTAATTAAAATAATTTAAATAAATCAGTAAAATTTTCCATACAACAATCGTTATTACATACAAAGTTACAGTTACAAACAGTAATTAACTGACAAAACGTAACAACTAACGACGACATAAAAACAACCACTGCTAAAAAAAATTATACAGATTTATTAAATATATTTTTCTTATAATATAATAACCGAAATATATTGCAAATAATATGACAAAGCAAATAAATAGAATGCAAAAAAGAAAAATACTGAGAAAATCAAAGCAAAACAAAAAACAAAACAAACATTACAAGCAAAACAAAAATTTACGTTAAGTTCATTTGGCAATAAAAACAAAAAACAACATCAACAACTACAAGAAAAGAACAACATAAATTAGAAATAATAAAGAAAGAAAGAAAAAAAAAAAAAAAGTAATAATAAGACACGGTAGATTAAAACATTTATAACAAATGCTTAAAACGAAAATAAAAACAAAAAATATAACACTATAAAAAATTAGATATCACTATTTAAAAATAATTAAATAACTAAAAAATAAAACAATAAATGACTAACAAAAAATAATAAGTAAATTTTTATACGCTAAAAAACTAAAGAAAAATCATTACTTCAAGACGGCTTAAATAAAAAATGAAATCGTAAACAAAGAATCCTAAAAAAATATGAAAGAAAACTAAAGAAATATATGAAATAAAACAAAAGAAATATATGAAAAAATAAAAAAATCTTCATTTTCCGATCTTTTTTCGATGCATAAAGTTTTTTTTTCCTTTTTTTCTATTCTTTTTATTTATTTCATTCATTAACTTTTTCTCTTAACTTCTATTTTCTATACTTCTTTATTTATTTTCTTTCAGATGATCTTTTCTTGTTTTAAAATATTTATTTTTAGTTGATTTTATTATTGGCTTAATTTATAAATGTTTTCTTTTCTTTCTTTTTTCCTCTCTAAAAAAGTTGTTTTTATCTGTTTGAAAAAAGCGTCGCCATTTGCGATGTCATTGCAAAGTATGATGATGTTTCATCGACCTTTCAAAAGCATTTGATACTACTGCCGCCCTAAGTAAAAACGCAGTAAACAACAAAAATGACATTCTGAGAAAAAGCCACTTTTAAATTTTGTGTGTATATATTTTTTTAACTTACGGCAAAATGAACTATGGGTTTGATGACTTCGGAATATACCACAATATTTTTATATAGAGCGTTATTACACAGAAAACGATGTTAAAACGTTTGGTGCAATAATCTCGATTTTTCAATTTTTGCGATTACTGCGTTTTTTCTTAGGACGGCAGACTACCGATCATGAAATTTGACTACACAAGCTAAAATATTATAGAATAAATTGCAAAGTTATAAAATGGTTCAAAAGTTATCTATCCAACCGTAAACAATTGGTTTTCAGCAATAACGATTATCCAAATAAGTTTCTAAGTATTTTATGTGGCGTTCCACAAGGTTCCATTTTGGGGCCACTTTTGTTCTTGATTTATATAAACAACCTATATATAAATTTAATGAGTATCATGTTTGCTGACGACACTAACTTATTCCTCTCCGGTAATGACGTATACGAACTCTTTTATATAAACGTTGAACTTAAAAGTATATCGGAATGGTTTAAATGCAACAAAATAACTCTTAACATTATAAAAACAAATTGGGTTCTTTTCTATCCAGTCTCAAAAAAAGCTTATTTACCCTAAAGTTAGCCGAAAGTTTTTTATTGGTGATGTTGAAAAAAAAAAGACATTATGTAACAAAGTTTTTAGGTGTTTTTCTTGATGAAAACATCACATAGAAAACGCATATCGACTATATTAGTGCAAAAATTTCTAAAACTATTGGAATTTTATATAAAGTCAGAAAAAATTTATGTAAAAAAAGTCCAAATCAACTTTATTACTTATTTATTCATAGTTGTTTAAATTATCCTAATATTGAATGGGGAATCACTGAAAAAAGTTAAAATGCCTTTATCGTCGTTTGAAACATGCGACTTGTTTAATCAATTTTGCGGATCGATGTAATCATTCAAAACCATTTTTTATTGAAGTGAAAGTTCTCAATATTTATGCTTAATGTTTTTAATGTTTTATGTTTTATGTATATGTGGAAAAAATGACATATCTTTAACCATTTTCAAAGATCTTTTTTGTTTAAAACAAATAAATAAATATACACTTAGAAATAGTAATTATATATATGAACCCTTTTGACGAACCAAGTTTAATCAGTTTTGTATTACATATCGTGCACCCTATCTTTGGAATAAAATTGTTTCGTCCAATTTTGATATGTCTTTCGATTTTTACTCCTCTATAAATAAAGCACATCAAATTATCTTTGCATTAGTATTCTGCGTTGCATCTTCAAGTATGTTTCACAAATACTTAATAGCCATATTTAAATATCCAAATATAATTCAAATATAAGTAAATAAATATTAATTATATATTTTGTTGCGCTTATGGCTAACAACTTTATCTCTAATTGGGTTGCGTCCATTTTCATTCCCATTTATTGTAAAAGAAACTGTTCTGAGAAAGAAGTTAACATCTCTTTAGTTCTATGGATTCTCTCTGAAAAAAGAGTTATATTAACATTTCCTTGCATCAAAAATTGCACATTTTGCTATTTTTTCATTTGAAACATTCAAACTGCTTTATGTTGAGTGTTATCATTTGTGATCGTTGTAGATGATTTTTAAAAGATCAATTCTAAGACTATTTTTAGTATACTGCCCAAAGCAGCAAATGGCATAAGAGTAGTTGCTTTTTTTTTTTTTCCTTCTTAAGTTATTAATTTGATGACAATTATTTAATAGGGAAGTCTTTATAGCTTTACTTTATACTTTAATAGCTTAAAACTTAGATTTGTTTTGCAGGATCCTTAAATTCTAATAAGAATTTCGGAAACTACAAGTTTTGCAAATGAGTTTTTATAAAACAAATTTTAATATATAAGAATAAAACAATAAAATCGAATAATAATTTTACTGACATTTTGGTAAAATATTGGTAATTATTTTTATTTTATAAATTATGTTTATCGTTTATATAAGTATACATTACGACAGTTTTTGTTAAACTGAGTTGTTTTGCCAACATATTTCTGATTGGTTATTTTACATCATAGGAATTAATGACAATTATTTTGTTAAACCTTCAAAAATACTTCTATATAAATTGTATAATCGGTCGATGAGTAATCTTAGGATTATATTTTAAAGTTTTTTGTTGTGCAAATTTGGTTTGCGTTAATGTTTTTAAAGAAAATTGTTATTGTTTGAAGAATCACATAATAGTTGCAAAAATGAATTGGGTAATAAAAAATTTTCAGTCAAACATTTATTATTTTATGTTGTATGTTTTATAAAACAAATATATTGAAAAATAATTGAAAAGTACATTTAGGGTTAAATTAACATTTAGGGTTAAATTAACGCTTATTTTTATTACTATTATTTATTTTTCAAGGTATTTTTTTCTGCTGTTGTGCTTGCATCTATCTTTACTGAATGTGAATCAGGTAAAAAAATAAAAAAGTGTTTTTAATTTTACCTTACTTTTAAAATAATTTATAAATTGGTATGTTTTTATCAAAAAGGGAACTGGATTGTTCCGTGTCAGGTTACTCCATGTTCGACTAGCTGTGGAGAAGGCAGTAGAACAGTTAACTTTACAATTTGCAACTCAACTGGAGTAAATGATACGTGTGATCCTAACTTACAAAATCTTCAAACAACAGCTTGTGAAAACGTTCCTTGTCCTGAAACATGTAAGTTGAAAATAATATCTTATGAAAACTGTTCAACAAGTGACTTAACTAGTATATAACTATATTATAATTTTACCTGTTATCAATATTATTGAGTTAAAACTATAACTATGCTATAATTTTAACTTGTTATAAATATTATAGATATATTATTTATACTAATTATAAATAAATATTTTAAGAATACTATAGATAATATATTTTGCGGTTCAAATATTATAACATATTATTATAGTATAACATATTCTGCAAGAATAAGCCATAACCGAATACTCGGTGACTTGGAAACATGGAAACAATATCAACACTGATTTATAGTTCAAGTTTTATTATCAATTTTAAAATAATCAATATGTTTTAACTTCTTTCAACACTAGCAAAGATCCAAAGTAAATAAACTTCCCATTAAAATTTTTTTCATCTAATAAGTATTTTTAATTAAGTTCTTGTATCTTTCGGCAAAAACAAATAACTATTACAAAAAAGAAGAACATGAAAAATGAATATGAAGATTATTTATACTTGAGCTATATTAATCATACTTTGATTATTGTTAATGAAATAACATAACCATATTAAAATAAACTCGATAAGAAATTTTTATCAAAATTATTATGGTTGTCTTCAAAATAATTCCTCAATAAGATTCTGTCGAAAATAACATTTCAAAATCAGTTGAAAAAAAGTTTAGTTAAATTTAAATAATAATTAGACACCCCAAAATTGTGTTATCAATAAAATGACACTGAATTTTAAAAACAAACTTATAAAAGTTTTTATGGGCTGTTTTAATTTAATATTTTTCCTTATAATTTATTTTGGAAAAATATTTTTATTATTAATTATTGTTATTGTTTATCATAGTAACTTTACATATAATGTATACATATAGCGAGCAGGGAAGACACCTCACTATAAACAACCAGTTTTATAAGTATTTGTTCCAAATCTTTTCTGCAACCTAGTGTCTAGTCTACTTTTAAAAGTACAATGTAGTAGAAAGTTATTTGCTCAGGTAGTTTGTTTCAGTATTTTCCTGATCTATTATACAAATGGTAGTGTCTTGGAAGACAGTTTGGAACATACTCACGCCTTATTTTATAATGGTGACCAGGAGACAAGGAGTTAAAAAATTTTGGTAGATATATACCATTAACTATATGAAAACAATGTATTAAAATTAAAGATTTGGATTAAATTGCATCGAAGGCGCTGAAACGCAAGTAATGTTAGATTTTAAAGTAGATTAACCTGAATCTCAATGAAAACAGTAGCTTTTTTGTATTGAGTCAGAACTCTTGCCACTACAGCCGTGGCGCAGTGGTTAAAGTTATGATTTTCCATGGTTAAAGGTTTGTATAAAGTTGTGGTCCTCACTCTTCCGTGAGGCTCTGTGATATGATTGTTAAGTATTCTCAGAGCACTTTAATAAACAAATAATTTAAAAGTAATAGTAATTACAATAAATTTTGTGCAGGGCAAAGCTAGCTAGCGTGTTTTTGTTCACATTACAACAGCAATTTTGCTTGATTGCTACTTAGCAACTAAGAGTTCCATTAAAATATTATTAACAAATTTCACTGCTACAACTTCAATCGAAAGTAAATTCCATGTATTTGCAATTCTTTTAAAAAGAAATGTTTTTTTTGAAGGATATGAAGAAAATTTTTTGTTCTATTTAAAGAAATACCCTTTTAAACAATACAAATGGAAAATCTTATTAATACCAAGTATGTATACTTGGTAAAAAATTCTCGTCCAAATCTCTTTTCTTAGTTAGAGTTGTTTAGGCAATGAGTTGACCTGCATATTTGAGACTGCTAATTTATAAAAAGCTAATTTATGTTTATACTTATGTCAAATAATAATGCTTTCCAAAAAATTGCAATAATTGTAGGCTGGGAACAAAAATGCCCTTTAAATTTAACCCCTCCCCTCCCCACCTCAAACGTAAGGGGTAACATAATGATAAAATATTTTTTGTACTATTCTCAACTAGACTTATATTTATTGATAAGTTTTAAGTTTCATAGTATTATCTCTCAACGTTCAAAATTATGACCATATAAATTATAAACCAATTTGAGGGGTTAACAAATTTTATATTTGAACGCTGTTAGATCATTTTAATTTATTTTTTTTTTTAATTTAAGGGCTTTTTTTTTCTAAGCTTCCAACCATCGCAATTTTTTGCAAAGCATCATTATTTGACATAAGTATAAGAATACAAACGTTGGGAATTTGCTCCATGTCTGGAAGTTAGCTATCTAAAATACCAAAAAAGGCTGGATCCGTCACCGATTATAATTTACTTAGTAATTTAAGGCTGGATCCGCCTCTGGCCACATGGATTAGTTTTAAACAGGTAATAATGTATTAATAATAAATAAAATAATGAAGAAAACTTTGGCAATGTGACGGTAAATGAAAAAATCCGATCGTGTATCAATTTGAATTTTTATTTTATTTTATTTCATCCATTCTGATAACTATTTGTGATATGTTTCAAAAATATTTGGCTCTTTTTTGTTTGTTTTTATTACTGTTCATTGTAGAAGGCTCCTTGTGCACTTTTTTAAAAATAAAAACAACTTGTTTTAAGGGTAACCGGCAAATTAAATTGTCCTCATTTCTTTGATGGCCACTATTGTCATTTGACACGTAATTTTTGTTTTCAACTTGTTCGGTTGTATATATTTCAAGCCGACAAAATAGAGAAATTGGATCTGTTTCTTCCAGAAGTAAATGTAGGGTAGAACGGGGCATCTCAAGACAGTGGGGCATAACGTGATAGTTATGCCTGAAGTCTTGTATCTCAGCTAGAAAAAATTTTTTTTTTTTTTTTTTGATAAAATTTTAAATTATTGTGCTTTATTATTGTAAAAAATTTAAATTTTAAAAATACCAAACATTTTGTTATTTTTGGACTTTTAATGCATTTTGGCAAAATGCATTAAAAGTACCCAAATGCATCAGTAAGTTTGCGAAAAACAAAATTTGCGTATTTTCTTAAGCAAAACAACGACAAAAGGTTTATCTTCAACTATTGTGAATTTGCTTTATTTATAAAAAGTTTATATTTTCCAGATAGAATTTTTTATCCTCTTTTAGAATCTAATTTTAAAAAAATATTTGGAATTGAACTTTTTGAATAGTTTTAATTTCAGTAAAATGACTTTTGTGGGCATATCGGGACAACAAGCTATTTATATAATTGAATATATTACTACCATTTGGTGATGCTGTTTACAGTTTAATAATTTTGTTTTTAATCTAAAATATTGTTTTTCTTATTTAGAGAAGCCATTTTTAGTAATAAATTTTAAAAAAATTCTTATTTTTTAACTTAACTTCGATTATTAATAGTGTTTAATGTAAACAAAGAAATTATTTAAGAAAGATCAATCATCCAAAATGGGATGAAATGCAGTTTTACCTGCTAATGAAAAGGAACTTAAAATTATAAAAGCTGCTGATACGTATGGCACATTTAAGTTTGTTCTACAATGGCGTATTGCTAATAAGCCGGCTGATCAAAAATGTTGCCGAATAGTTTCAGGATATTTTTAGTGTGATTTATATGATCCATATAATTTTTTTGTTCAATTTAAAATTTAGTAGTAGTAACCAATTTAATAATATATAGGTTAGAGTAGGGTGTAGGTATTTTATAATAAAACACACACACAAAAAATTTATTTTAGCTGCTATTTCTTTTTTGTTGTGTATGGGTGTAAGGGTGTGTAATTTCTACGGGTATGTTACTTTATTGAGAGTTTATTGTCTGAACATATTTAAACAATAGATATCCTTCATTTTTCATCGTTTTTAAAGCTTTACAGATGAAGAATAACTATTGCTTTTTAACTGTCCCGTTTAGCCCCCCTCACTTGCAAAATGTAAAAGTTTTGCTAGTCTAGAGTTTCGTTACTTTGTCAATTAAATTTTTTTTGATTTTTTTTACGCTAATTCCAAACATCAATATAACTAATTTTGTCAGAAGATAAATCAGTTTGTAGCACAGTTGTTATCACTATCAATAGCAAATGAACTTATGCAAATATTTGTTCAAAATATTAGCAATTTTAACTTGATTTTGTGAAATGCATTCATTATTTTTTCGTAAAGTTTTTATTGAACTTTTTACCCTTAACTTATTGTTAATATTATATAGGAATTATAAATTTTACTTTTCTTTTTTAATGAATTCTTGTTTGTAGTTTGTTCTAAAATTCTATACTTCAGAATTTACTATCGGGCGTTGTATTTTATACTCATTAAATTAGCATCTTTTCATTTATATATCTTAAATTTTTACTTTTCCTCATCCTCAGAGATTTAAGTTCTTTATTTATCTAAGAAGTTTCCATTTTTCTAATTTGTGAAACATCAACAGTGAAAATAAATAAATTGCTTGCAATGCTGTACTAATAATTCAATTCATTTTACATATCTTGAACTTATATATATATTTTTGTACAATTGAACCTTTTTTTTTTTTTTTAATTTTCACCAACATTTGAAATGAGTTAAGAAAGTTTATTATAGTTTGCTGTTTTGTAAACAAATTTGTTGCAGTTTAATTGTAGAAGTTTAATACTTTTTTAATTCTACCTCCTATCACATTAATTTTTGTAGGTTTTTGCAGATCCCTCTCCCCCATAAGTGTAAAAACTTTATGGAAAACCCCAAGATCCTTGGTTTTGATACCAGATCTCAATTTTGAATGGGATACGGTACTTTATTAACAACTCCAAATGAGGAGGAAGGAAAACAGACTTTGGTTTCGAAACCGGGCTCCATTTTAATTATATATTTTTTTTCAACATACACGCATAAAAATTAATTGCATAAATTATATATACTTATTTAGAAATTAGTGTGAATAGGGGAATTTGTTCCTTGGCAGAAGGTTGCAAGTTCGAGTCGCAGTCTAATTACAAATTATATTTTTTATTAATAAAAAAAAAATATGTTACTTGGTAAAAATCTGTAATAAA